ACACACACACACACACACACACTCTCATTATAGTGATAATGGAGGTGGTAGTTTATAAGAATTTTTGTTTTCCTTTGTCAAGATTACAGAGATGGTTAGTTGGGTTAACCTGAAGCCAGGCAGAAGGGAGGGCAGGGAATCGCCTTCAGGCTCAGGCAGATATTATTTTTCTAGTGCTAAATTTGTAGCACTGTAAAAAATACAGAGTTATGGGCAGGCACACAAGCACAGCCTGGCTAAAGCAAGACAGTTACCACAAAGGCATGCTGTCTGGCTAGGGAGTGACAAAGGGCTTTCTCCCAAGAGAGCCTGTCATTGAGTTGGACAAGCTCATCAATGGTCTTGCCTGATCATCTGTTCCTATCATGGCAATAGCTGACAGGGACCAGAGACTGCTGGCTACTTCCAGCCTCAGGCTGCCTGCCAGTCCCTCAGGTAGGCATGTGACCCCAGTGCTTTTTCCAGAGCTCCAGTTGGGCAGGTGGCAGCTCTGTTCACTGCTCCCCACCCTGCAGGAACTGGACCTGTCCTGGGGACCCCGTGGCTAGAACATTGCCACTTGCTGATATTCTGGCTACAGGGACAGAGCCTTTCTCTGTGACTATCAGAGCACAGGAAAGAGCGCAGTTGGCCAAAATATGGCCTGACGAATGATTTTACCCAACCCGCAGCTGGTCCACTGAAGGAGAATTTTATCCTGCCTGGAGTTGCCCTGGCTTTTGGTGCCTCTCACCCTTCTACCTTCCCCATGGCAGCCAGCTGCAGGAGCAGCAGCAGCAGCAGCAGCAGCAGCCACTCCCCTCCCCTCCTTGGCCAGCCTGCCCTGTCCCACCCTCCAGCCCCCAGTGTATGCTCTAAAGCAGGGGGTGCTGAGCTCCTGGTCAGGCTTCTGAGGCTGCCTGAATGCCACTCCAACCCTGCACCCGGCAAGTCGACGCTCAGGTAAGGTTCTCCCTGCTGGTGGGGGAGGAGATGCAGGGGGAAGAGGGCCAGGAGCAGTGGGTTATCCAGGCTTTGCTGAACCAGGGTCTGGTAGGGTGTAACAAGTGTGTGTTCCAGGGCCAGTCCAACTGTTGGCCCACTCACTTGTCTCAGGGCTAACCGCCTGCCTACCTTACCTGCCACACCTTTAATGATATGAATTAGAAGATGATAGCAAGGCAGGAGGCCGCCCATTTACTTGCCCTGATACCAAGCGCCTATACACAGCTCTGACCTTCCCTATACCATGTCCCATGCCTCGCAGATGGCATCAATATTACTCCAGTGCCTCACACTGGGATCCATAGTCCCGTGCCCTCCCACTGAGATCCTCACACCAGCGCCTCACCTCGCGACTCTTGACCCCTATGACCTCACACTGGGACTCCTAATAACTCCCACTTGGGGCTCCCAGCCCATCCCTTCTCCTCGGGCACCCTGCCTGGCATGGGACCCTCTTGATCCCCTACAGGACCCTCTTGGTCCCCTCACACCTCCACAAGGGGCCTCATCCCCTGCCCAGCACTGGGCCTCAATTCCCTTAATCCGCTTGGCTGAGGAGCCTCACATCTAGCTCCCTTGTAGGCTTAGGGCCCCACCCCCTGGAGCCTCACATCCAGCTCCTTAATGCAACTCAGGACTTGCAGTGAGCCTGGACACTGCTTCACATCCCTTCCTGACCTGGGCTCTGCCTCAGGACAATCAGTTGTGCCCGACTGGGAGTGCAGCCACCTGCAGACTGCTCTGCTGTCTGCCCCAGCCTCTGGAAGTAGTAGAGCACAACTTGTACTCTGTTACATAGGGGCATGGGCATTGATGCCATGCTGTGTTCCTGTGGACTGCTTTGGGATCTCCCACATGGACATAACTGGATCAGTTGGCATGGCTCCTGCCCGACCTTGAGTTCCTGGCCTGTGGCAGGAATCGTACCAGCTTCACCTACTTGGCCCAAAGCGGCATGCAGCAATACAGCACAGCACCAGCCTGGCCATCTGCTGGGGACTCTGGGCGAGGCAGGGGGTGAAGAGAGAAGGTGGGAACACAGCACCAGCCTGGCCAGGTTTGGATAACCCACAGATCCCAGTCCCCTTCTCCCTGAACTCCCTCCTGCACCCCAAGTCCCTAGCATGCAGCCAGGCTGGTGCCATGCTGTGTTCCTGCACACCAGCTCAGGCCACGCTGGTGCAGCTGGTGTGGCTCCTGCATGACTCAGCTGTGTGCTGGGGACTTAGGGACAGGGGAGGAAGTTCAGGGAGAAGGGCGTTGGGAGCTGCAGATCATCTGGGCCCAGCTGGGCCAGTGCCATTCTGTATTTCCTCACTTCTCTCTGCCTTGATTCCCTAGCAAGTGGCAGGGTCGGGCAGGAGCAGTGCACTTACATGACCCAATTCAGAACATGGGAATATAGCATGGCACCAGCCTGGTTGCATGCCAGGGACTTGGGGCAGGAGGGGGATGAAGGGAGAAGCAGGGAACAAAAGTTAGGTTCCCCAAACCTTTGTTCTCATTGTGCAGTGACAGGCAATTATTTGGGCTGGAGAACCACTTAGGGAGTTTTGGTGAGCTGTTGCGAGGGGGCAGTGCTGACCTGGCCTGTGACAATTCACCCAAACTTCTTAAATGGCCCTGCGGCCAAATAATTGCCAACCCCTGGGAAAGAGTGTATTCGAGGAGCCCATGGCCAGAACACCAGGCAGGGGGCAGCAGCATGCCCTGACAGAGTCCCCCTTACCTGGTGCCAGTGATCAGCTGATTGACAGGACCAGGAAGGGGGCAGTGTGCCCTGACAGCTCCAGAGAGCCAGGAGCTCTCCCTCTTTTGGGTTCCAGAGAGCCATATTCTTGGAGTGGAGGAAGGTGTGGGGGGGACTTGGATCTGTGATAGGAATGCCTGTCTAGATGTTAAATTAATGACAGAAAACCTTCCTGCCACAAAGAAGTTGCTGTTTTTAGTGATGGATCTGATATTTTTGGGACAGGTCTACTATTTTTTTCCTATGAGAAACAGCTTGACTATCTGGCTGGTTGAGTTTCTTCATGGGAAACTGCTATATAGATCATGAGAAATCTGGTTCACACCTTATTCATTAGTCTATCTAAAGTGCCACCCTGCCCTACCTTTTGCTTTTATAAAAATGTAATAAATTCAACCTCATGCAGTTCCTGTGTATCTGTCCAGTGTTGAAGGTTTGTTTCTGGAATTGCCTGCACAAAAAAAGGTTACCACCCCCACCCCACTCCCGGCGAAACATGCAGTCCTCCTATCTCATTCACCCCAAATTGGATCTGGCAATAACCACATGAAAATGTAAATTATTTTATTTGTTGAAATTCAAACAAAATGTTGGCTTTGCTCACCCCGTGTCTGATATAATTCATATGTAGTATCTGGATTATGCATGACCTTCCATAATGTATTTTTAATTGTCTATATTAATCAGAATAAGACTCAACATGTTTGCTTTTGTCTTGCAGAATGAAAAAGAAACAGTATATTTTCCTACTCATGCTCCTCTCTGCTGTTGAATATTGCTTAGCTCATTCTTGTGCAGTGGATTCTTTCTCTGTGAAAGAGAACTTTGACCGAAAGAGGGTAATTATTACTACTTCATCTGCAGGAAGTAGTTTGTAGAAGTAATCCAATTTAAATGAGTTTTTTTATATATCTGTATTACGCTTATCTAAAAGGTTTCTTGATACAGTATATTCTGGGTAATTATTAAACATAACAACACTATAATACACACACTCAAGCACCGTTTCTGTAGTTGAACCGCTCCTTTTTTGTTGCTCTTAACTCGTAGGATTAACCCCCCACTGCCATTATATCAGTAGGAAACCAGCCCCCTCCCTCCCCCAACTCTGAATCCAGTATTTCAACGCACATGACAATTAGACCACCCTGATCCTTTCTGGTAGGGCAGGACATAAGTCTAGATACTGCTACTACTAATTTGACCTAATATTATCTGCTGTATTGTGCATCATCCAAAAGGGATGCTCTTGGTTTACAGACACTCTGTCATGTTTTCGTGGATACTATTCTGGGCTGGCTGACTTCTGCAACTTAATTCTGTTTCTAAACTCATGGTCAAGTCATTCCCCCGAAGGTGAACTATCAGTGCACAGTCAATGGGAAAGGTAGGGTTCTTTTAGTCTAGACAGGGAACATGAATGAGAAAACCTGCACTTCCTAGCTGGGGAGTAGCCTTTCTCAGGTTCCTCCAGCCTGCACTCACTTAGCATAGCCCCATTGACATCAGTCAGCTCTTAATGTGAAATCTGCAGCATCTGCCTGAGCTATGGTAGTGAACATGGTTACCTGTATGAAACTGTTACTTGTGACATGAAAGGTTGCAAATGTGAGTTTGAAAGTGCCTGGGGCGTTTGTCTGGAACCAGGCAGAAGAGAAGGTTCAGACTGCTCGCAGCTGGGAGTGCATGGCACATTAACCTGCTTGCACAAGTATGCTGATCCCTGGCATTCCTTCTTTCACTTGCAACTTGTTATCTGAAGGTATTCTGCTGGTAATGGTTCAAGCATGATTAATGATAAGAAGATAACTGTCATTTTCAGCTTGCCAACCACACTGGTCAGGTTCAAGCTCATTTCACCAAATAAGACATTGATAATTGGCACATACATGGTGCACAAAGAAGTTGTATGTAGGCAGAAGTCTATCCAGAGCTTTTCCTTGATGGAATAATTTTCACGCTAACATCCAGGAAGATCAAAGATGTTGATGGCTGATACAGCAACACAACAATCTTTTTTACACAACTGTGCAAATCCTTATCAACGTCAGGACTACTTTCTAGACCTGCCAATAGATGTGGATGTTGAATGAACACTTTCTAAGCAGTTTTCTTAGCATGACCACTGAGCTGGCTGGTGGTATCACAACCAGTGCAACTGTAGAATCCAGTTAGAGATGCATCACCTGGCTCAGGCAATTCTGACACATACCATGAACTGGAATGAGTCTTACTGGAATGAACTGGAGTCTTATTGGGTTGCTTCTCTTCATCCAAATCTTAGATGCAAGTTTATGCCATAGAAGAAGGACCAGTACATCTGTGTCATTGCACAAGAATACTAGACAGGAGTATCTTTGACCAAGTGCATGTTTGCCATGTAAGAGAATTCTTGCATCTGCCTCTTCCTGGTGTGAATGCAGTTGCAAAATGTCACACAAGCTGGAGTGCTCTGCTTTTCCATCAGTGCAACTACCAATAATGAGCACTTGTTCACTTTGGAAACATTGGCGAAATTCCTTAAGAAGCTCCTCACTTAGAAAATTAACTAGGTTTTCTTTGCTTGCTGGCAAGGATGTAAAACTATTCCACGATGCCAGTAGTGGAAGAGATCTGCTCCTAATGAGTCTGTGGAGTGGCCTAGTACTTTAAGTCCTTAATATTCTTATGCCTGCTATTATCGATAGTGATATATATCAATCAAAAACAACTTCAACTTGATTACACGTGTTGAAATAGTTGGCAAACACTTATTGCACAAATGAGTCAGCCAAATCTTCAAATGCTCATGCAGTTTTTTGGCTTTCCTATTTTCTGTACAAGAGCCATGCCATCAATAATAACAGCTGATTTCTCAGGAGTAGTATCTGGTAGAACAGTTAGTGCTTTATCTCCAATCAAGATCTGTGACAAAGCTGCTTTGTAGGCCTCATGGAGTGATTTGTCAGGTTTAAAAATGACAGAAGGTATCCAGACAGTTTGTGCTGTAGGAGAGCATGCACATTGAACCTCCTACCTGTGGCAACCACTGCCAGTATCCTTTGCTGGCTCTCCTTTGTATTCTGCATCTGTTTCATTTTGCTGCACTGTCGCATACTTGACTTTACATCCTTGAAGGTTTTCAGTGTCAATTTGGGTATGTTTGCATAGAAGCTCTCAGTAGCATCTGGATAATGAAGTTCACAATTTCTCTTCCTTTGTCATGTGCATTCAGAATGTCTGTGTGGCAGGTTCGTGCCCCAGCCGTGGCTGTGAAGCCCCCTGGTGACTGTATGAACCATGCCTGGCTCAGTCTCTATTACAGCCCTCCCTTAATTGGTCGCCCGCCACATCTTGTTCTTACTAGAGGTTAAATAAGGGAGGCTGCTCACTGGCCTTAGAGTAAGCCTTAGTCTATCTGCAGTACCCTTGGGTCCCTCCTGGACCCTCAGCTGCCTTGATTCTCCCTTAATCTCAATAGCTTCTCTCAGCTGGCCTGTGCCCCTGCAGAGCCCCTGTAGCTGCAAAGGCAATGTGCGTATTTATGTGCCCCTGCCCCAGGGCACCCATAACCTTAAGAGCTCAATGCATGGCTCCATTTCCTTCCCTATACCATGCCCCAAGCCTTGTGTTCTCTCTCTTCAGTGTTAACTATTTGTACACGTGACCCCCTTGGGCCCTCAGACCCCCGGTCCCCTATGTAATCTCCCTGTACGCTTGTGGACGTCTGGTCCCACATGCAACCCCTCCTCTGGGCTCTTGGATTCCTGGTCCTGCACAAAGCCCCTCCTCCAGGCTCTCAGACCCTCTAGTCTGGCCTCTAGTTAACATGGACCCTCTGATCTGGGTCTCAGCCTTTCCTAAACTGTGGGACCCCTTACTGGGCCCCATGCTCAATCAAAGGACTTCTGAATTACTGTGTGTCTAAATAGGCCTTGAGCTGGCCACCACCGGGCTCAGGGGTTGGGAACCTCTGGCTGGCGGGAGACTAACTGACTGGTGGGGACTCTGGGCTTAGGCTCCATCCCGAGCCCTGTTCCCATCACATGAATCCCACAGTAGCTCCCCCTGCCACCCACAAGTGGCCTCACAGGCTGCTTGTGCCGTTAAAGAAGCAGGCACAACTCAGTGCCCTGCTACAGTTTAATGCAATATCTTCCAACACAACATCGCCCATAGAAATACATAAAAGCTCATTGTTGGAAACCTTAAGCAAGAGGAACCTTTCAGACTGCTCTTGTACCAACTTGACATTGTTGTAATCTCATTTCAGTCATGTCCTTTGTCTTTCATTATGATTGTTGTTGTATTATTCCCAAATACTTGATTTACCATCTCAGTTAAGTAACTTCTTTTTTTGAAGTTCAGCTCCCAAAGTTGTCTAACTGATTCATTGTATGTTATGTTTACTATGCCTCCAGTAATATTGCAAACTTTGTTAACATGCTCTATTGCCTGGTCGATTTAAATGTTTACAGATGGGAGATTAGTTGTCTTCTAGTTCATCACTGGCATCTCATTCACCCATCACTTTATATGCCATGCTCTCACTTCTTCTTGAGCAATCTCCACATGCAAATGGGAATGAGAGACTTGTTGCTTCCACTGTTCTTCCCACCTGCATTCAGGATGGTAACATGCCTCAGCAGCTGTTAGATCTTTGATGCCAATTTGGCAGTGCAACACTTTATTCTTCTCTGTCAGCTTGTGTATTGCACTGGCTGATTCAAACAGCACTTGACCCCAGTATCTTCTTATTAGAATGCTTCTGGCAGAATATGCACATCCTTCAGTGAACTGCTGGAGCAGATGATCTGTTTGATGTCCTAGTGCAGATCTGGCCCATGGAGAGATTTTGCCCCACTGGGTCGTGCTGGGGCACCTCCAACTCATGCCAGCCTGCAGCTTGCCCCAGGATGCCCATGCAGCACCAGCAGCAGCAGCCCCAAGACCTGCTGGCTTGGTGTGGGATGTAGCAGCGTGGAGTAGAGTGGTACAGGGGCAGTGGCAGCGGTAGGAGCCCTGGTGAGGGTGCTGCATCTAGGGCTGGGTCCAGGGCCAGTGAGGAACTGCATCCAGGGCCAGAGGCTGGTCTCCATGGAGACGGTGCATGGTCAGACAGAGCTGCATCCAGGGCTGGATGCAGCACCCTCGCCAGGGCTCCCACTGCTGCCACTGCCCCAGTGCCTCTCTGCTCCATGCCACTATACCCCACAGTGAGCTGATGGGGCTGGGAGCTGCTGCCACCATGCAGGCATCCTGGGGCAAGCTGCAGACTGGCACAGGATGGGGGTCCCCCAGCACCACCTGCCTGCCCTGGCCCCAGCCCAGTCCTGGCCACTTCAAGTGCATGGTGGGGTGTAGAGTCATTGCTGGGTTCACACTCTGTGTCCCCTGCCTGTGAGCTGTGTACCCCAGGCCAGGAGAGAGGACAGATGAGGAGAGGGGGAAAGAGGCTAAGTTCCCTGCACTTGGTGGACTTGGCAGTGACAGATGGCTGTCCCCTGCCCCTGCCTCTCCTCCTTAGCCTCCTGAGCCATCTCCATGGGGCTTACAGCCCTCCTCTCCCCCACATGGGTACTGTGGCTCCTCAGTGAGGCCCGGCGCTGGCTTCCAGCTCTGTCCTAGCCCTGCCACCTCCCGACCACAGAACCTGAGCCTATCACAGGGGCATGTGGGCAGCATATTGTGGCTCTGACTTGGCTCCAGCCCCACACTGTCACCACCCCATGCCCCTGCCCTGTGATCCCAGCCTTGCCTCCAATCCCACTCCTAAACACCTCTACCTGGGGCCCCATCTCACCACATAGGGGGTTTTGGTGAGTTGTTGCATGGGTGTTGGGGGGGGTGCTAACTTGGCCTGCGCCAGCTGAGCAAAATAGCCTATGTGGTCTTCAGGCACCAAATAATTAGGAAAGTCACACAAGGTAGAATATGAAAGGGAAACCCTACCAACAACATCAAGTGAAGAACACACTGGGACCCCTTGTTAGTAGGGTTGTTGGTAGGGTTTCCCTTTCATAGTCTACCTTGAGTGACTATCTTAAGTCTTGCAATATGTCCTTTGCGTGTAAAAGAACTGTAGCAAGAATGGTGCCAAATGACGCTTTTTGCAACACTGCAGTGCAGGATCAACACAACGTGATAATCTGTCAAGAATACTGCCATAATAAGTGTTGAATTCAGCAACTGTCCGACACTGAATGAGCACCTTGTTTATTCATGCAATTCCAGCAGGTGTACTTTGGCTAATTATTGACTGCAAATCTACTTAGAGACATATGATGCATCTTGTAGATTCCCAGTTGTACCACGCACTCTTTGCTGGACTCAGCGATGCTACTGGCTCCATTGTAACATTTGCTAAAAGGCAAAAAGGGCAAGTCTCTTGTAGATAGTCTCCATCAGAGGTTTTCATGTTAAGGTAATTTGAAACAGAACAGAGGTGAAGTAGCAATTTTGCAAACCTTTTGAGTATCTAATTGTGAGCAAAACTGTAAATTCACAGCAGCCATCTTGGAATCCAATAAGGCTACTGCTATGGAAATCTTACGATTGATCTCCTCTGTTCATATAATGCTGGTTTTGTCATTGGAATTAATTTTCTAACCCTACCGGGGCCTGAAATGTTGACCAAAACATGAATTCACAGCAGCCATCTTGGATTCCAATATGGTGGTTACACATACTGCTTGCCAGATTGGCAACCTGACTTTTCTGACATGGGTAAACCACCTCTACCTGAAACACATTGTGGCCACTTGTGGCAAGGAGCTGCCTATGGAGTGATACCTGAGCCCTTCTTTACTACCCTTACTATTAGTTACACTACTGCATTTCAGTCCTGAACATGCAAGCAACTTCCTAGGTCAGGGGTTTTCAGACTTTTTTGGTTGGTGTACTCTCAGCAGCTGGTTGAGAAGCAGGGAGTCCCTCGGCTGGTCGATGAGTAGGGTGGGGGAAGGTCCCCCGGCAGCTGATCGACAAGTGGGGGTGGGGAGGGGCCCCCTGTGCAGTGGCAAAACCAGACGTGCCAGCAGCAAAACTGGAAGCACTGGTGGCAAAACTGGAAGTCCCCTCCCCCTCCCTGCTTCTCCGTGCCACTGCCGCATACCCCCTGGGGCCCTCTCAAGTACCCACAGGGGTACGTGTACCCCTGGTTGACAACCCCTGTCCTAGGTTATATGAGCTTTTTTTCTAACTGAAAACCATAAGTTTGTTTAAAATAACAACAAATCATATCCCCAAGTCCCACTTCTCTTTAGTGCAAACATGGGGATACCAGATGTTAAAGTGCAGGCAGACAGCTTTCTGCTTGTGTTTAACCCTGTGAGTTTCTTCTCCCAGACTACAGTTAATTGTGGGCCCCTTCCAGTACTGGAGCAGTTTTCTTGGATCCTCTTTCTTCTCCACTTATAGGGTTCTAGGTCTTCAGTATTCTTTTTCTTAGCTTATATGTCCCCACCCCAACTGTCCTTATCCTATTATCGATGCCAAACTTTTTCCTCTGTTTCTAATGGGTAGGGTCCATATTTTCTGCTTTGTTTCAGAACCTTACACCACAGAGGTCCATGACCTCTAGCAAAAACTCAAATTCAGTCCCTGTTGGCAATATCAGGTACCACCCTGAAATGGTAAAAAGAGATAGGAATAACCATTTGTCCTAAAAACACCCATGCAGTTTGCTCTGTATTTATTCATTTCTCAACATCATACCTGGAGGGGCCACAGACTGCATGGGAAGATAGTGTACTGTGAGTTATAACAATGGTCCTTCTGGTTTATAGATGAGGCATGTGAGCATGGCAGTGTAACAAAACTTGTGAAATTGCTGCCTGAGCTGCAGATACCTCCAGTATTAACACTGGAAGGTTACTACTCCAGTACTCATCACAGGGAAGAGAAGATACAAACTGAAACACATACACAAGGACCATTAATCTGAGCCCCTAACCGAAGATCTTACAGTCTGGAGTCTGCTGGATTTGATGGCAGAATTTGCACAGCACACAGTTACCAAAATTCAAACTTTCTGCTCATCACCTAGCTCTGGAGAGTTTAATGCCAGGTGGTGATGCTGTTTCCATTTGCACTAGGCTCCTGTCAATGGTTGTGTTTCTGTATGCAATGATAATGACTCCAAACACTAATATACTTTCATTTCAGTATTCAGGGAGATGGTATGCCTTAGCTAAGAAGGACCCAGAAGGTCTCTTCCTGCAGGACAACATCTCTGCTGACTACACTATTGAAGAAGATGGCACAATGACTGCAGCTTCCAAAGGGAGAGTGAAACTCTTTGGGTAAGTGTGTAACTCACCTTTTACTTCAGCTGCTGATAGACTGTGTTTTGTGCATGCCATTTCCAGTTGTCTAATCTAGGCATGTGCATAATACACTTGCTTCCTTCAAGAAGGTACATGTCATAAAGTTAATGCATTAGAAGCAGGAGATTTGAGCTATTAAGCCAAAATGCTATTCTACCTATTGGGCACGTGGATGAACTTGGGTACCTAAGTGAAAATTCCCTATTCAAATTCTGAAAATCTATTAATGTCTCCTTTTGTAACACATTATCATTTGACCTTTAATACTGAGTCACAAAAAAGCAGTGAGGAGGACCCACCTATCTTTTGCATTAAGAGCCTTGAGCAAGATTAAATAGAATTCCCTATATCCACTTATGTGCCCTAATAGCTGAAATGGAATCTGTCCCTGAGAGTCCTGACTTAACACTTACGGAGTTCGTGCTCAGCCTGGACCCTGTTGGAGCCTATCACGAATTGATCATGTAATTGATAATCTTTGTTCAGAGGCACGGAGCTTAGGATGTCATTAAATGGTAGTAAGTGAATAGGACCAGGTACTAGATACTGAGTCTGAAACTAGATAACAAAATTAACTGAGTTATTAACAACAATTTATTTTTTGCAGGGGGTTGACAGTGTTATACTTAGTTATGCAAAATAAGATCTCAGGAACTGAGCCTGAGACTTAACTTCTATACAGAGAAACATGGTGAAAAAAATAAACCAATGTGGAAATTTAAATAGTACTTCTAACAAGTTACATTTCCTTGACAGTTTTGGTTGAATGAGCCAATACTGTATTTACTTGAGTCTAAGACAAAGTATTTTTTCCCATTTAACATGGAAGAAAACCCCCTTATCTTTAGAATTTAGTGTGAGGGTGGTTGGGGATGGGGAGGGCAGGCAGAGATTGTGGCTCAAACTCCAGCCCCTACCCAAGGCATGGGCCATAGCCACAGCTACTGCCTGTTTCTTTCCCCCCGCTTCCGCCCTGCCACTTCTGCACCTTGCCATTTCCCCCATGCAGCCTCTTTCCCCATTTCCACCCCCTCCCCATGCAGTTTCTGTTCCCCCACCTGCCCCTCTCCCTCCCATCCTTTATCTTTGCTCTGTGCCTATGCCAGCAGGCTTTGTCCATGTTATAGCCTGGGGTGCTGAGCACAAGCCCAGCCCCAGCCCAGCCCAGCCCCATAGCAGTGTTGTGCAGCTCACACAGCGCCCTAGGTAGAACAGGGATAGAGCCTGCTAGCGCAAAGGAAGGGGAAGTGTGCGGGGGGAAGGAAGTGGGGAGCAGAGGCTGGGAGGAGGAGAGAGGTGGGGGAGTAGAGGTTGGGGGAAGGGCAGGCAAGAGGCAGAGGTAACCGGGGGAAGGCAGAAGTCAGAGGCAAGCTGCTTTACCTCCCAGTACCACCTTCCCCACTACTGCCTGCTCCCCTGCAGCAGTGCAGGATGCGAGAGTGAATTAAAGACAGCCCTCCAATAATTAGATTCTAGAAATGGAAAATTATAATAAATTTATCAATTTTCCATGTATAGAATCTAATAGTTGAGGGAGTTGTCTTAAATTCAGGGTCATCTAGGATTGGAGTAAATATATTAAGTGAATCTTCCAACCTGAACTTTTTTGTCTTTCACTTCATCAGATGCTGTGAAAGGATATATTTAGTTAATCTATAAGGCATGAATCAGCCTTTTCTCAGTAAAGAAAGAGACCTCCAAAAGTTCAACAGGGGTTTCACTGCTTTTTGGTATTTGTGGTACACCTGGCAAACACAAATCTAAGGATTGTTAAGACAGACACATCCTAGGAGAGTAGAGTCAAAGCCAGGTGAAGTTGAACAGGCATGTTATATAACACGTGTGAAGAAATAAATTAACTGACTTATTTATGAGTTTTGGGTGGCTTCTCAAGAATACCTGGAAAATCTCAGGCTGCTGCCTTGGATACATCTTTTCAGTGTGCAGTAAGGGTAAAAGACAAGTTAGAAGGTCAGTCTGTAAACCTGAAAAGGATGGATAATACGGAGAACACTGTCAGCCAATGGAACATTCTAACATCTGGGAACCGATGTCCAAATACGTTAACAGTATTTAAAGTGCATAACAGAAGAAAACAAGTTTTAAAGAAAGGATATATGAATTATAAGCACTAATTGAAGAAGATGTGTCAGAGAGAATTATAAGGCTAAGTATATGGGCAAATGAACTAGCTACCGTGCAGTAAAAGGGGGTGGAGACTTACTGCACGTCAGTTTGCTCTGCTGTAACCCTGTACAGGCTGCATAATGTGGCTTTTACTTGATAACAAACAGTTATTTTACAGCAGCATGGTGGTCTTACCCCATGTGGTCATGATTAATGTACAGTCCAGAGTGTACAGGCATGACATGCTCTGAGCTTGCTTAGGGCTGCTGTTGACGTGTGCATTGAAACAAACTGCAGATTCTCACCCTCTGTATCGTGGCTCTTGTTTCAGATTCTGGGTGATATGTGCTGACATGGCTGCTCAGTACACTGTACCAGACCCTGCCACACCAGGCAAGATGTATATGACTTACCAAGGTCTGGCTAGCTACCTGTCCAGTGGAGGTGAGTGGGCTGGTTTGTAGCTTGTGGCTATTCAGGCCCATGGATTTCATTGGATAAAGTGCCAAGCCAGTTTTGCTCCTCTAGGACATGACCACTCAGAATTGAGAGCTCCAGAGCTGGGAACAAACTGTTCTCACTGAGGGGCTGGGGCTTGAAGCAAAATTAAGGAGAGGAAGGAGCTCCAGATTCTGATCTTTGGAAGATACTGCAAAACAGTGCTCTCAAGGCTTCCCCCTAACAAGTGGACCATGGAAGCCTGCTCCAAACAGGTCTTTTGATTAGGACAAAAGTCAGAAATTTTCCTAGGGACCTAGCTATTATGAGTCCTTTGTTTATAGAAATTGTGTTTTAGAGGCAGGTGACAGCACAAGATGGATGGAGATGAATGCAGTACTTGCCTTATGTGAACGTGGGGAAGCAGTCCTTTCTCAACTGTGGGGGGTAACTTCTCACGTCAGCGTTTGCAGAGCCTGCTTACTTGACCCAAGTGATGGGATCTGGCACTTAAACCCAAATTGTCAAACCAGCTGCTAGCCTAGACCATGTGGGTGGACACTACTGGCTCTAACTGAGCTGCCCTCCATGCTGCCACCCAGATTCCCTGAATTCTTTTGCTGCACAGAGTATACGCACCTCCTAATCCTATTCATGTCCTTTCCATATTTATTTTGTAGCCAGTGGCCTCTGTAGCTATGGAGAATGGGCAGCATGTTCCCCTTAGTAAGGAATAAAGAAACACATTTCTAGTGAAATGGTAATTTATTATAGTTTCATAGTTTCTAGGGTCGGAAGGGACCTGAGCAGATCATCTAGTCCGACCCCCTGCCATGGCAGGAAGAGCACTGGGGTCAAACGACCCCAGTAAGGTGGTCATCCAACCTCCTCTTAAAAACCCCCAGGGTGGGAGCCTGCACCACCTCACTTGGAAGCTGGTTCCAGACTCTAGCCGCCCTGACCGTGAAGTAGCGCCTTCTGATGTCCAACTTAAACCTTCCCTCCGCCAGCTTGTGACCATTGTTCCTGGTCA